CCCGAGTGGTGAAATGGCCGTCAGGCCGCCAACTCCCGCGCCTTTCCGAACGACTTGGAGGACTCCAGGTCCTGGGCAACCTCAAGCAAGTGCTGGGCCACAACAGCAGCCATCTTCTTGGGGTACGCGGCCGCGAGGGCCGTGCGCTTTGCAGGAGCCCCAGGATCTCGACCTACAAGGATCACATGCGGGCGCTCGGTGTGCCCACAAATTCTTCGGCGGCCACCGCAAGCCCGACAAATATCATCACAAAGGCCAGCGCCCCACAGCGCCACGGTAGTAGCCTTCTTCCAAGAGGAACCAAAAGCGCATTGGTCGAAATGGTGGATCCGACAGTCCTCGGCGCCGAGGAGAGAGGCAAGGGGCGGCGCGAGCCGCAGGATTGAGGGGCGAGGATTCTCCAAGCCAACTGGAATGCCATGCTTACGACAAAGATGAATGATGGCAACTGTGAAGGTCAGAGACGCATTGCCGATGTCAACCATGCGCTGGCGGCGCTCTGATAGGTCAGACACGCCCATGGGCTCGCGAGAGGCACGGGGACCAACCCGAACGGCGCGAGACCAGGGCGTGCAAGGCGTTCCCAAAAACACACCATGCAGCGCATTCGAGGTAATCCAGCCTTTGACGACTCTGAGAAAAGCTGGCCGTCAATGATCCTCTACGGCACCGTGAGCCCAGTCCAGAGAAAGGGCGGCGCCGCCTCGCCGCCTGAACGCCTGAGCCAGAGAGCCTGACCCACCGAAGAGCTCTAAGAAGCAGCGGTGAGGCAGAATGCGCTTTTGCCAGCCTGGCCGCTGGATCTCGGCAGCAAAGCGGCGGTGCAGGTGCCGAGTGACGTCGCCGTCGGAGGCGGTCAACGGCGCGGCCGCCTCAGCAGCGGCTGCCCGCCTGCACGCGCGGTCGAGCCCTTCGCGAGCGGCGCTGGCGTTCCCCTGAGGAGCAGGGCGCCCACGGCGGGCCCCCGCGCGATGCGACTCCTGGGGTCGGCCGGACCGCACAGCAAGGCAGCCTCGAGGTTGTCCACCACCGACTGGCCGAAAGACACCACCTCGGGGTTCACGAGGTTGAGGATAGCCAGCAGCTTTGACTCCTTGCTGTACCTGCGGAGCGAGGTCTCGCTCTGCCAGCGGCCTCGCCTCTGCGCGGCGGCCAGTGGTCTGCGCTGCAGAGCCAGGTCCTCGGAGGCGCCGCCGTGCCGCAGCTGGTGCAGGCTCGGCCGCAAAGGGGCTAGGCCGAGCTGCAGCGCGGCGCTCTCGAAGCGCGCCTTCAGGTCCGCCGGGGACAGGTCGCGGAGCAGCGCGTCGGGGGCGAGCGAGCCCTTCAGAGCGGCCAGCGGCCTCAGGATCCAGGGCCCATGTCCAGCAGCGCCGACTCGTCCCAGACCCCCGTCTTGCCGGGCTGCAGGGTGGCCATGTCGCCCAGCAGCAGGCCCCGCGCCCAGTAAGCTGCCCCCGCTGAGGCCACCGGCGGCACGACGTGTCGGGCTCTCAGCCTGGCGAGCTCGCGCGGCCTCAGGCAAGCGACCAGCGCTAGCAGCAGGAGAAGCCCCGCCCGCGGAAGGCCCCAGTGAATGAAGAGGCCTGCGATGGCACCTGCAACCGCCCGCGGCGTCGGCAGCCGCGTCTGGGCCGGCACCCTCCGGCGCCAGGCTGCGCAGCACCTGGCGGCCCGCGGCAGCAGCGCGCGTGTGGGGCGCCCCAGCCCCGGCAGCCAGTGACCCAGTGCCGACAGGGTCTGAGAGCCCACGTCCGGCCAAGCCGAGCAGGAACAGGTGGTTGAGGAAGGTCACCAGCACCGCGTCCAGGGAGGAGGTGTCCGTCCACGAGAGGCCCTCCTGCTGGCAGAAGTCCACGAAGCGCTTCAGCACCGAGGCGTACAGGGCTTCCGTGGAAGGCCGGATCGCAAGCCGCTCCAGCGCGCTCAGCCCGCCAAGGCTCGGCTGCGCCGCGACCGCCTCGCGAGCCGCGCGGCTCCTCTCCACCGCAAGCGCCGCGGGCGCTCGGCAGCGCGGCAGGCGAGGCTGGGGCAGAGGGGCCGCGCTCGGCCGCCGCAGGGCCCTGCCCATGCGCCTCTCGCGAGAAGCGGGGCACAGAGGGCACGTGGCCGCCTGAAAACCAGCCCAAATGGCCACGAGACGGGACATCAGCGACGTTCCATTCTGAAGGGATCCACCTGCTGACAAATCTGGTACCCGAACAAAGACTGAGACAACAAAGTTTACGAAGTACGCGTTGGAGATGGACGGTATTCGCTCTGCCCTTTGCCATAGCGAGGGCCAAAGGAAGATTGTCCACAAACACGAGACAGCGGGTGCCAAAGTTGCAACAGCTTCGGAGCAGGTGTTTCACAGCACGCAGCAAAGCGTCGCCCTCCAGACAAAGGATGTTAGCTTCGCCCAAGACCTTAGCAGCCAAGATGGTAGACCAAGACCCCGCCTTGAAGATCCACTCGGGGACCTCGTTGAAAGCCCTAGCCCACTGTAGGATGTAACTGGGGTCCACCGAGGCCTTGGGGGGCAGGTCCGAGAGGTTAGCCTCAGGGTTCACGGGGATCTCAAAATCGCCGATGTTACTAATCATCAATGTAAGAGTCGAAGTACCACCCACAGGAGGAGGAGGAGATCCGTGAAGGGCAGAGTGTCTAGCGCGCGCATAGCCCTCCACCTTGAAGCGCCACCTTTCCGAACAGCACCCAATCGAGCCCACGGTGTCCGAATCCAGCAAGCGCGAACAGATGCCGAGCCCATGCTCGGAGGCGTCCGATGCCAGAACTTGTGGGCTCCACGGCGCCGACAGGTCGGCAGCAAGGAGCGGCAGCATACCTCTGATCCAGCTCAGCTCGCGCAACACTCCAGGCCAAAGCCTGGTCGGCCTGGGGCCTGCACTGTGCTGGAAAGCGTACACATCTGAGAACAGCGCCAGACACTCGCGACGAACGAGACCGGCCCACGTAAGGTGCCCCAAGAGGATCTCGACCAACTTCCCACTAGCCACCCGTTTCCGAATGACGATGTCAAGAGCCCGTCTGAGTCGCCATACGTTACGACGCCGAATCGAGAGCCTCCGACCGCCCACGAGCTCGACCCCCAAGAACTCGGCGTCCTTGGACGCGTCTGACATCTCGTGGACCTGGAGCCCCAAAGCTGTGAGGTGCTTAGCGGTGGCGTCACGGCCCGCCTGGGCCCTCGAAGCCGAGCGGTTGAACACGAAAAACTTGTCGACGTACCCCGCGACGACGCACGACTCCTCATCCTTCAACTCCTTACCGGGCTCCCCGTCAAGGATCATCTGAGGCTGAGGGAACCCAGACACCACCAGGCTGTTGACGAGCACAGTCTGAACGAGATGCATAGCCCACGACCATTCCATGGGAAGCACCGTGAGCACCGGCGTGAGCGAATCTCTGGGGCTCACCGCGCGCCCCTCGCACGCGGAAAGCCCAAGATACCCCGCCGCGATGTCAGGCAACGGAAAATACTCACACAGCTCGCTGGGTAGGCCAATGCGGTAGAAGCAGTTGTCGATGTCCCCGCCGGAGACGCACGTGCCCTCGGAACCCGGCTCGACGGAACTGAGGGCTGAGGTCTCGTGGAAAAAGGGTCCCGAAAACAAACAATTTACCTGCCTGGTATCGAAGATCAAACGTAAAGCTCCTGACTTCCTAGCTACGAAGAAGATGCCCACCCTGGCGCGAGCTGCGCAAGAGCGCCTAAAAGAAATCATGCTCCTCTGAGCGAGGTCCTTTAAAAAGTCAGCGTAACAGAAAGGCCTGCCCGTCAGCGCCCTATCCGTGCAGGGGCTGCGCGGGCAGGCCTCCGCCACAAGCGAGAGGGCCTCGCTCTCCGGTCTGAGCAGATTGCCACAGGAAGGCCCCAGCCACTCGCGGTCGCCCTCGGCGAGCAGGTCCAGCAACGGCACGGGCTTGCCAGCGCCAGCGGGCAGGGAGACGTTTCCCTTGGCGTAGGGGCGAGTGCTGGAAGGCTCCGCATGGCACGGGCCGCCAGCGGCGCAGAGCTCGGCGAGGGCTCCCGCGCCTACGGGTGAGTCCGCAGGGGGCCCACCCAATTGCAAGAACTGCGACTCGATGTGGGCAAGAGCCGCGCGCTGACCAGCGTTACCAGCTGATGACGGCTGCTCCGACTTCGCAAGCCCATAAGCAGAGTTGAGGGAGTCGATGCAGCTGTTCGCCCAATCGATCGTCTTGGAACTCCTCTGGCGTCGCCTGTCACCGACGCGGCTGCGCCCAGGCCCGGACCCTCCAGCACCGCAGCGGAGCGTCAGCGGCGGCAGCGGGAACAAGTCGCGTTGCCGAAGATCAGGGAGCGGCCCAGCCGAAGAAGAGTCGCGTGCATCGCCAGCAAAAGCAGCACCGGGGTGGCGAAGCCCGGGCGGGTGCCTGAAATGGCCGGCGGGCGTAGCCCTGTCCTCGCCGCCGGCCGCCTGCCTGACCATCATCGCCGCCGCCGTCTTTGCCACCCTTGGCCTTCGCTTTGGCCTTCGTGGCAGTCTGGGCGGCGGCGCGTTCTTCACGGGCCTTCCTCCTCTCCTTCAGGATCGCGTGCTCCTGAGCCAGTTCCTGGCTGGCCCATGCCTGCAAAGCCGGGCACGCGCAGCAGTTGCCGCGCACCAGCTCAGTCCCCAGGTACAGGTGCTGATCCATGCGCGCGGGGTCCGCAGCGCCTGCCGTCCTCTCACGATACTTCTCCTCGATAATATGCAGGCTCCTGCCGAGAAGTTCGAAGCTGGCCATCTCGGTCACGTTCAGTTGGTCAAAGCAAACGGCATTCTCGAGGGCGGTGCAGATTCGCAAGTGCTCCTCAACATCGCCCTCGTTTGTCAACCTGCAATCGGTCTTCCACCGATGGTGTCGCGCGATGGGACTGCCGCCGTTGCCTGCCAGAAAGTGACAGACCCACTTCAAAGTCCGAGGGCCTCTGACCGGCCAGTCGGCCCAGGGCGTCTCCGTCAGCAAGGGCAGCGCCTCCGCGAAAGGACGACGTCGCTTCGCCATGGTGCCCACCATGGGGTGCACCCTCAAGTCGGAGACCACGCCAGCTCCACCTCCAGCTGGCGGCGGCGCAGGCGGCGCCACTGGGCCAGGCGCCAGGCCGGCCACCAGGGCGCCCGCCACGGGGGCGACCGGAGCGAGCGGCGCCGCAGGGGCGGCCCCCGCCAGGGCGCCACCAGGGCCAGCACCGGGCGCCACGACGCCACCAGCAGGTCCCAGCACCGCGGCGAGTGCCCCAAGCCCGCCTCCGACGCCAGCTCCCGCGGGCACAGGCGCGAGGGCCCCAGGAGCCCCAGCAGCGGCGGCGCCCCCGGCCACAGCGGCCGCACCCGCGGCAGCGGGCGCCGCGCCTGGCATGCCGACCCCAGCAGGCGGCGCGCCAGCACGACCGACCATGTTCGGCGCCAGCGGCATCCCCGGCGCAACGGCGCCAGCTCGCTGAGCAGCTCGGTCACGCGCCTGGCCCAACTCCGCGGCCAGCGGGATGGCGCGGAAGCGGTAAAGGCGAGCACCAGCGCCTCCCGCCCCAGCCGGCGCCGCTCCTCCTTGAGCTCCGCCTGGCAGGAAGCACCACTCTGCGGCGTCGCGACCAGCCCCGAGGTCCTCTTCGTAGCTGTCCCCGTCTGGCGTATAGCAAGCGCAGACCGCACCGGCCCGCTGAGGCAGGTATACGCGCAGCCGTTCATGCCAGAGAGGCGGCCCCGGCACCTGAAAGCGCACCAGGTAGAAGTCCCCCTCTGCGAGGCCTGCAATCTCTAAGCCATTCACCGCCATGGGAACGACCATACTGCAAGTGACGAGCTCTCACCTGCCGCAACTGCTCCTGAGCCTCTCGCTGCAGATCCAGTCCCTGGGCAGCGTCCTCGGGCGCCCTGATCGCCGCCCACGCGCTCGATGCGGCACCAGCGCGGCCACTCGGCGTGCTCTTCGAGCGGCCTAAGCGCCAGGCGCCGGGCAGCTGGGCGAGCGCGAAGCCCGCGGCCGCGCACAGGAGCAGCACGATCCACCAGTACGAATAGTGCGGCCCGCAGTGCACGGTGGGGCACGCAGGGCAGGTGACAGCGCAGTTGCAGGCCGGGCACTGGCAAGCGCAGTCTGGGCACCCGTGCCCTGCCGCGCGCACAGCCGCGCCTATCCCCAGCCCTCGGACTATCTCGAAGAGCCCCTGCTCCAGGAGTTCCATGGAAAGGCGTGGGCTCTCGCTTGAGCCGAACGTTGCGGTTCGGCGTCCCTCCTCTCTTCTTCTTGCTTAAACATTGAAATGTGGGGATATATATATATATATATGTATGTGTGTGTATATATATATATATATATATATATATATATATATATATATATCGACATCGGCACACGCATACTAACATTTTTTAATTTATCTCACACCTGGCGACTGACGCAAATCCGCGCCCCCCCCCAATAGAATCTGTCGGGCCCTAGAGGCCCCAGGGTCCCTGAAGCTCCCTCTGGCCCCCCAGTCGGGCCGCCATTTAGGCCTGCGAAACCTCGCGGAACCGCCGCTAAGGCCGCCACCTGGGCCCCCTGGACCCCGCGGAACAGCCCGAGATCGCTCGCGGCAACCTCGACGCAGCCCCGCATGCCACCGAGAGCCCCCCAGAGGGCTTCAAGGGCCCCAAAGCACGCTCCCGAGGGGCCGAAATATTTCAACAACGCGCGGGACTTCAATAGTTGCCGCCTCTCGCGTTCCCGCCGCCGATGAAACTCCAAGGCTTCAAAATGGCCCCCAAGAGAGCCTCCGACAGGGCCCCGATGGGGCGCCCAGGACTCCCCAAGAGGCCCCAAAGAAGACGGCCCCAAACGGCCTCCGGAAGGGGCTCGGGACGCCGCCGACGGCGCTCCAGATGCCTCCCAGATGCGGCCAGTTCCTTCGAGTTGGCTCCGGCGCTGCCACAGAGAAGGCCTGGCCATCTGTCTGGGCCGGGTCCCATGGCCACCGCGCGATCCAAAATGCCCCCGCAATTCTCCGCGAGGGCCCCGCGACCTTCTCCAGATGGCCTTCATAAGGTCAAAATCCTTGAATGTCGCTCAGTTTTTCTGCGCACATGCACCCTCGCCCGCTCGGGCTTCAACGCGCCCGAAATGGCCCAATGCATTTCAAATGTTGCACGAACGCGCATCATCAAACTGACGCCACAGCGGCGCCCAACTAACTTTGCATTGGCCCCAACGCCTCGAATACAGCCCAGGAGAACTCGAACACATTGAACAAGAAGCTCCCGGGGGGGCTCTAGACGGCACCGGAGAACCCCCACGCGTCACAAGACGGCCCCGAGACGACACCAGAATAATCCCCAGGACGGTGTCGAGGCGCCACTGGAAGTCCAGGGCATCTCTTGGCTGCCCCAAGTGGCCACGAGAGGCCCAATGCGCTCCGCAGGCCGTCCACGGCGCCAGGCGCCCAGCGCTCGCCCAGCCACCTTCTCGGATTGTGACGCAGGATGGCCTTGGACAGCTGGGGATCAACACAGCAATATGATATAGAAAAAGCTATACAAAGTAGCTTCCCGAGATAACTAAAAGTATCTTCAACTTAGCTCCCGAAGCGACGGGAACGCGCGCGCGGAATGGGCAACGTCGAACCCGCGGCGGCGACGCGCCGAATCAAACCACGGCCCCGCGCACCAGCAAATCAACAATAAATGCCGCGAGGGTTCTGCACGCGACGCCACGGCGATGGTCGCGGCGCGGTTTTGCACGCGACACACCCCAATGCCTCTTTCACCTTTCCCTCCTCAGCCCCTTTCGCCAGCCTCCCCCTTCCTCGTTTCTGCCCCTCCTCCCCCTCCTCATCATCATCCTCGTCTTTCGCCCGACCTCCCCCCCCTCTACCCGACGCGCGCCCATCTCGCCGTGCCGCGGCGGCGCATTCTCCTGCCGCGAACCCCTCGCCCGCCGCTCCCGCCCCTTCCCCTTCGCCGTCGTTGTCTTCCTCCGCCGCCCCCGCGCCCTCCCCCTCCTGCTCGCTGCTCGCCCGCTTCCCCTCTCCTCCTCCCCTTCCCTCGTCCTCCTCCTCCTCCTCCTCCTCCTCCTCCTCCTCCTCCTCCCCCTCCTCCTCCTCCTCCTCCCCCCCCCACCCATCCCCCACCTCCTCCTCCTCCTCCTCCTCCTCCTCCTCTTCCTCTTCCTCGCCCGCCCCCCCCCGCGCCCATCGCTCGCGCCGGGCCCGACCGCGCCGGCGCGCGCGGCGCGTTCTGGCCTAGCCGCGCCGGAGCGTTGCGTCGTCGGCCTGGCCGCGCCAGCGCGCCATTGTATATTTGGGCCCGGCCGCGCCGGCTCGTCATTCAAATCAGGCCACTGGCGCTGCGACTTTGGGTTAGAAAACTTGAAGCTGGCCAACTTTGGTTACATCATGGTGTAAGTTGATACATAGCTAAGGTCATCTGAAGAACTAACATGCAACTACCCAACTTGATGTTAGCATAGATGGTTGCATTGTTTACCACTTGTAACTGCAGCTGCCCAAGTTACCCAGGGATGTGACTATCGTAACTGCGAGTTGTAAGTTGCAGGCCAAAGAACTTATCAAAGTTACAAATAACTTGTAAACTACTTGCAACTGTCTGAAAGAAGTTAAATTTGGGCTCCTTTGCAACCCTCGAATTGTACATATCGCACATTATCATTCCCCTCTCCCCCCTCCTCCCCCGCGTACCCCCATCCCCCCGACGCCGCGTGGCTGCTGAGGCTTCGGATCGCAGACCGAAGAAAGAGGCGGATTGCGAGGGGGACGAGCGATTCAATCGCTGCAGGATCGCAGACCGAAGAAAGATGCGGAGTGGAGGAGGATGAGCGATTCAATCGGTGCTAATGTTTTTTGATGAGCGATTCAATCGCTGTCCTGGCAGATGTTGTTTTCCGCTCAGTGCAAAGCAAGAATGTCGCCAGAGGCGAGCTCCGACCAAGCGTGGCACATCTCAACCGATTCGCCGCTCCACCACGCAAGAAGCAATTCGCCGTCCTTCCGCAAGACTGACGCGTTCGGCGCCCGCTTCTCGATCACGACGCACTCGTGCCCAAGAATGAATAGATCGCCCCCCCGTTGGCCCAGTGCTGCGACGCACAGAAAATTGTTCTGCATGCGCACCACGTCGCCTGCCCAAACAAGCAAGCCTTTGAAAGCAGCGCTGGATGAAAGGACGACGTCGCCGCCGACTGCTTCAGCAAGCAGGGGCGACAACTCCGCATCGCCCCCCCTGAGCCCTGGGCGCTCGTCGAAACTTTCGAGCTCCTGCAGGCGCGCCAACAGCACGCGAGAAATTGCAGCTTTCTCGAAGCCTTTCAGTATACCTTGGTTGTCCAGAATCATTTTCGGCAGAAGGTGCGACCTCTCAACAGCGAAGCAATCCAACACAACGTCGAATTTCTCCACTTGCTCGGGAATGTGCGTCGTCAAATGAAACTTGGGTTTCCAATTGTCGGCCCCGTATGCTTTTTCATGTGCGTCCGCATGGCGATCAACTGCAGCTCCGAGGGCCGAGGCATCGATGTCGCCCGCCTTCGCCCGTTGAATTTTGTCAATTACAGCGAAACAATGGCAGAGGGACGCAACTTCGTCGCGCAGCTCATCGAAATTCGGCAAGATAACAATGCAAGCAAAATGCCGCACCAGCGGGTAAATGCACAACAACTCTGAGGCGCTGCTTCGCCGATGCTCCTTGGATGCGTTCTCCCTGGCCTTGCAGAAAACAACGTGGGCCTCCCGACACTTGCGTCGGTGTTGCTGGGGGAAAGACCAGTCTGCCTGGCAGTGCCGTTCCAACTTCGGATAGATGTCCCTCAGAGCAGGAATGGCTTGGCATGCCGACATGAAGCAAAACATTTCCTGGGACGCAACACCATTGCACACATATACATGCATCCAATCAAAATGGAGCGACGAAACAGGGCCGACCTGCCCTCGGAGGTCTGCGTCCGCCAACAACCCATCAGGATTAAAATTGATGCCGTGTGCTTTCTCGTGGCGCACAAATGCGGCTTTCGATATTGCCCCTTGTAAGTGCGTCAACTCGTCGTGGGCTCCCCATACGGCCTCGTCAGAATTACAAATGAATGCGCTGCGGTCCCTGCATGTGATTTCCACCAACCGATTGGGCGCGGCGCCAACGCCAGCAATGCCTGAGCCTTTCTTGAGCACGTTGGCGCACTTCAGACACGGTCGGATCCCTGCAGATCCTTTCACGCCGAGGCCCCTGGACAAAGCGACCTCGTCTCCCAAGTGTACGGCAAATTTCGCGAAGAACATTGTCGGCCCGCCCTGTAGCGGCAAGGCCACGCCATCCACGAGATTGCCGTCCTCAAGAAGCAAGCGACGCAGCAACGACTTGATCGTGCCCGAGAGGCCACCGCGAATTTTCTCCACTTGTGCCGACCTGATCACGCCCAGGGGGAACCAACAGCAATCGTGCCGAAGGGCATGCTTGAATTCTAGAAACGAAATGTAAAATGCAACGAACTTCCTGCGGTTATGCGGTCGCAGCACAGCTCCAGGCGTGACCTCGTCGTGCGCAAGGATCACGTTCCACGGCCTTGCTGGGGTGATAGGCGCGGCCGCGAACATGCGCTTCAGCGCTGGGGACACCTCGACTAACCGTTGAACCAAGCGGGCAGGCCTCAGCGGGATGCGCCAAGCAGGCGCGCCGTGAACCCCCTGCACCACCCCCTCCCGCCCTGGGGGGGGGGAAGGGGGAAGGGGGAAGGGGGGAATGGGTGGAGGGGGGGGGGGAAGGGGCAGGGGGGGAGGAGAAAACTGGCACCAGAAAAAAATCCAGATGCCGCTGTTGATTTTTCGCGGCCCAAGAAAGACGCGCTGCTTGGCGCGCCCCGCGACGTCCTTGCAATGTGCCACTCAAAGGACCCGCCGTCGCACAGCGGCAATTCCAGAGAACACGACATCTCTCTATCGCGCTCCATCTTCGCGGCGGCCTTGGCCTCATGCGCAGAGACCTCCTCTTCGATGGGCGCTTGCCTCAGTCGGCGGAGGACCTCGCACAAACCAGCGCACGTCACGCCTGGAATGGTCACCAGCCTCCCAAGGCGGCGGCGCCTCTCGAGAACTTGCTTACCCATGATGGCCACGCGGGCGCTGGGGCGCGGGACTCAGGCACTCCTGAGCCCAAGCGCTGAATGTAAAGCAGGTGAAGGGTTCAAGCCGTCGCGCCGAGCGATTCAATCGCTTCCGAGAGAGGGCGCCGCTTCATAGCGAGTGAATCGCTAACGAAATGAGCGATTGAATCGCTAACGAAATCAGCGAGTGAATCGCTAACGAAATGAGCGATTGAATCGCTAACGAAATGAGCGATTGAATCGCTAACGAAATCAGCGAGTGAATCGCTAACGAAATGAGCGATTGAATCGCTAACGAAATGAGCGAGTGAATCGCTAACGAAATGAATGATTTTTTTCTCCGACGCCGCATCTCAGCCCGAGAGATGTCAAGAAACTTAGGCGGCCACTCGCGCAGCATGCTCGTTGCTGCACTTCCCCTCTCCTCCCGCAGGGGAGCCTCAGTCGTCGAAAGTGCTGAGCGCTGTCTCCGCCTGCGCGCACTTCTTCTCAGCCGCGTCTGCCTTCTCCTTCACCGTCGCAAGCTGAATGGACAGCACGGCGTTCTTGGACAGGGTATCCTGGGCCGCGGCCGCGAGAGCGTCGAGGTCCTTGATGTGCCACGCCAGGGCCTTGCTGTGGTCCTTGTGCAGCTTGCTTGCTTTGGGGTTGTTCAACAACCCTTTTGCCTTAAAAGCGAGCGGGCTCACCTTGGCCAAGATCTTGACGGCGTCGCTCATCATCTTCTTGGTGGCTGAGGTTGGCGCGAGTTGCTCCTTTCCCTTGCCTTTGCCTTTGTTCTTGCCTTGGTGCTGCTGCGGGCTGGCGGTGCGCTCCTTTGCGGCGGTAAGGGACTGGCGGACCTCTTCCTCGACGCTTTTGTCGTCCTTGTAATCAATGTTCACGCAGTAGAGCGCGCCGAGAACATCGTCTTTTTTCTTGTCTTTGCACAGCCTCTTAATCCTCTTTGCGGAGTAGCCCTTCTTCTTGTAGACGCTGAGTGGGAGGTATTTCCCCTGCCTGCCTGAGGCGCGGCTCTCGCGGTATACCCTCGTGAACGTTTCCACCGCAATCTTCTCGACCTCTGCCTTCCCGTTCGCCTCCTTGACGTCGTTCCAAAAAGTATATTTCTCTTCCTGTGAAAGCGACTTGAAGGATTGCGGCGGCCATCCTCCGAAAATCCTGTGGAGCTGAGTGTACCGCGAACTGCACGTTGAGCACTGCCAAACATTCCTTTTCTTGCCTGCAATCCTTGCTGCGAGCGGCTCCACGGGCTTCTTGCACTTGGTGCAAACGGGGTTGCGATCGAAGCGCGGCACCGCGTCGATAGCCGTCTGATCAGGGGCAGCGGCGCACGGTGGCTGGACCTCGGCGGGTTCTGTCGGGACCTCCGAGCTCCTCGGCGCGGCCGATTTCTTGCGTTTCTTTTTGGCGGTCTTGGAGCGCTTCCCCTTGTTCTTCCCCTTCTTCTTTTTCTTGGCCTTCTCGCCGTCCTCGCCGCTGACGCCGTAGTCGGCGCCCTCGGCGCCGTCGTCTCCGCCAGTCCCGGCCTCGTCTGCGTCGGCGCCGTCGCCGTCGGCGCCGGCTGGCCAGCCTTCGGCGCCTTCGGAGGCCCACCTCTTCTTGCCCCCCTTTCTTCTTCTCAACTGCGGGCGCAGCCGCGCCGCCGCGGTCGCCTCCTTCGTCGAGGTGTTCGGGTTCGGGCCCCCACTCCCAGGACCAGTCGCCCTCCTCGGGCGCAGGGCCTGCCACTGCCTTGGCTGCCCTGGCCTTCTTGGGAGGGCGCTTGGCCTTGCCTGCGCGGCTGGCGCCGTGAGCGGCCACTTCGGCGGCGCCCTCTGGGGCCATCCCTAGCTCTTCGGCAAGTGTCACTGGCTCTCCCTCGGGGGTTTCCTCTGGCCCCTCGGGGGGTTCCTGTTTGACGTCGTCTAGCTGCCCCGCGCGGGCCGCCGAAGCCACGACGGAGAACTCGAACAGCGAGCACTGCTTCTTGACCTCCACGTGCTTGGGCGGGGCGGAGACGCGCGGCGGGGCGGCAGCCGACATCTGCTGCAGCAGGCGCGCCGCAGGCTCGTCCATACCTCGGTTGCGCGAGCGCTCCCGAGCGACCCGAGAGCAGGAAGCGCTGCTTTGAGCCCAGAGTGGCTGCAGCAGGGCGCAGTGGGGTCGCGAGCTCGGGAGCGCGTCTGAGCGAGCGAGTCGCTAGTCTGAGCGAGTGAATCGCTTGTCTGAGCGAGTGTATCGCTAGTTACAGCGAGTGCATCGCTAACCTCAGCAAGCGAAACGCGGTCTCAGCGATCCTCGCTCTCTCGCCCCCCCCCGCCCCCATCCAAACAGAAAAGCGCAAACCACGGATGGCGACGTCACGTTGGACCACCGTTGGACCACCCACGTTGGACCCCCGTTGGACCACCGTTGGACCACGGTGGTCCAACGCGTTGGACCCCTGTTGGACCACCGTTGGACCACCGTTGGACCACCGTTGGACCACGTTGGACCACCTTCTGTTGGACCACCCATGTTGGACCACCGTTGGACCACCGTTGGACCACCAATCGCCGTAGGGCTTGGAGGGTGGGTGGGCATGCGGTATCCGAAACCACACCAGAAACGAGCGTCAAAATTGTAACGAATATTGGCGCTCCCTCTCGGGCCTTCTCCTTTTCTCTCTGCTCTGTCCTTCTCGGTTGTTCTCCTCCTTCTCCTCCTCCTACTCTTCTTCATCATCATCCTCTCTCAACCCTCCTCTTTACTTTCTCCTCCCCCCCTCCTCCTCTCCCCTCTCATCTTGGCGGGTCGCGCATGGGCGGGCTGAAGAGGAGCCAGCGATTCGATCGCTCAAATGGGGTTCCGAGGAAGAGCCAGCGATTCGATCGCTCAAGTTGGGTCACGAGGGTGCTATTATTTTCTCAAAGAAGCGGCGGGCTCCCGAGACAGGCCGAGCGCAGGGCAGCAGGCCGCGTCTTGGAGTGGCTCAGCCCACGTGGCGCATGCAGATGCTCTCGAGCGTCTTCTTGGCGCCCGAGATCGCAGCAGCGCTGTCCTCGAACGCCTTCGCTGCGCTGCGTGCGATGGTCGCGGCGTGTTCCGTCGCAGTCAGAGACCTGTCAAGGCAATCCATGACCTGCTGCAGCTCGCCCTTGCGCACCGTGACGTCTCGCGCCACCACTGTCTTCGACTTGTACTGGCCGACTGGTCCTGAAGACCGCTGTTGAACGGCCCGCCCTGGCTGCGGTTCCACGGGTGGCGCGGGGCGCTCCTTGCTCTTCTGCGTGCCCAGCTCGTAGACAATGAACGCGTCATTGTCTGCCTCCTGCAACGCCGCCTCCCACTCGAGGGCGTTGTCCTCGTTGTGGTAGGTAGAACACCACAAGTGGTTCGCCACCTTTTCCCTCACGATGTCCCTGTCAGGGTCCGAGAAGATGCAAGAACCAGCTTTCTTGCAATCGCCGCGAGGGCAAAAGCCGCGCCACAGCCATTCACTCCCGCTGGAACTCGCGGCCTCCGACGGCCCATCCATCGCTGCCCGCCGAGCGCGCCTTGGCCCTTGGCCGCTGAGAAAGAAAACCGCTCTAAACAGATTGAGCCCAGACGAATGCAGATGACTACTCGCGCGGCCCGCCCCATGGAGCGAATGCAATCGCTGAGAGGAAATGCAACGGGCAGGGGTGCAAGGATGCCGACGCATCGAATGGGGGCTGAGCGAGGAGGTCGAGCAAGCCGAGGCGACCGAAGGGGGGAGAGAACGGCCCGCCGCATCTGGGGCACTTCTTTGCGTCAGTAACTTCCCACGAGGGGCTCGCCAAATCTGGGGCCCTTCATTGCGTCAATAACACCCCACGAAGGGACCGCCAAATCTGGGACACATTTTTGGCGTCAGTAAATTCCTAAAGGGCCCGCCCAAAAACTGAGACCAGAGATTTTTGCCTGGGTCGCCGCGGAGATTTTGACCTACGAACGGCGCCCGTGGCGTGGATCGCCGCGGAGATTTTGGCCTGGATCGCGGCGGAGGGTGGCGTGGGGATTTTGGCCTGGATCGCGACGAAGAGAGGAGAGATAGACGAGAGAGGTGACCTGCATAGCGATTCAATCGCTTGTGAACTGCATAGCGAGTCAATCGCTGTTTTTTTCTCAAATGTCCTCGAGGTCATGAGGGTCCCAGGCGGCCTGCGCCCGCGGCGCCCGCGTGCCTTCGGGGGCGCTGCCCTTGCTGCCCTTGCCGTCCTTGCCGCCCTTGCTGCGCTCGGAGAAGGCGCCGCCCTTGCTCTGCCCCTGGCCTTTGCCGCTCCTGGAAGAGGCGCCCTTGCCGCCGCCCATGCCCTTGCAGTCCGAAGGCCGCTTCGGCACGTGGCCTGCTTGCCAGCCCCAGCCGCCGTAGCCGTACTTCTCCTCGAAGAACTCCCTGGACGTGCCACCGCGTTTCTTCCAACGCCGCTCGCCTTCTGACCATCTGTTGCCGCGCCACATCGTCGCCCCCCCCCCCCTCGCTTGGAGGAGGCGGGCCGCGCATGGCCCATGGCACGGCGAACTGTTTTGCCATGTCCTCCTCGTCCTTGAGAGCCTGCGGGGTGTTCCACAAGAAGGTCATCCTCGCTTGCTTGCGCCTCGGGTTCTCCGCTTCGCCGCCGCTGTCGGGCTCGCCCTTGCCGCTGGCGCGCCACCCGCCCTTGCAGCCTTTGCCTTTGTCGGCGGCGCTCCGCCCCTCGGACTCTGAGTCTGAGATGGGACTCATGCGGGGCTCTGAGTTTGAGATTGGATTCACGCGCGATTCGTCGCCAGCGCCCCCGCTCTCCTGGGCCCCATCCTGGAACTGCGCAAAGGGGTCGCCCAAAGACAGCAACGATTGCAGTGACCTCTCCGCGTCGTCGGCCATTGTCGCTGGCGCGGCCGCCGAGGCCTTGAGCCGAGGCCGTGAGCCGAAATGGCAATGCGAAGGCACGGTCGCAGGGGCGCTCCGCGAGCAAGCGAATGCATCGCTGACACAGGGTTGAGGTGAAGGGAGCGCTGCTTCGATGGGAGGTCGGAGGAAAGCGAATGCATCGCTGACGCAGGTTTGGGGGTTGGCTTGAGGGGTCGAGGCCTCATCCATAACTCTCCCCTCTCACCCTCCTCTCTTCCCTCTCCCCTCTCACCCCTCTCACCCCTCTCACCCCTCCTACCCCTCTCCAAGTCAGCGGTCCATCACTCTCCCCTCTCACCCCTCTCACCCTGTCTATCCCCAAGCGAATGAATCGCTTAGCGAGTGGATCGCTGTTTTTTTTTGTCATCGCAGGCAACGGTAAGGCACGCCCTCACAAGAGTAAAAGTGAGCGGCAGGGTTCCCTGGGGCGCTCGCGCGGCTTACCCAAACGCTAGGATGCGCTCTCCAGGGCCCCATATACAGAAGCGCGGTAGCGAAATGCATTGGGCGCTCTGTCCGAAACACCGTAGCATGACTATGAGCGCGCGGCGCGTGGCACGGCCCAGGCCGAAATACATCTGGCAAAGTGCGTGGCGGACCCAGCGCGGCCGAGAGCGCCTCAGGAAACCTACACACATTATGAGCTACTTACCCAGCAGCTTTGAAATCCTGAGCCGCTCTTTGCAACTCGAGCACCCCTTTTTGGCGTAGCGACACTTCGAACACCCGAGCTTTTTGATGGGCTTGAACAGGGGTGACACGGTGACGCCCTTCCCGTGGCTTTCGCCCGTCGTCTTAGCCCCAGCCTTCGTCGCCTTTGCTTTCGCCTTCCCCTTTGCCTTCACCTTTGCCTTCGGCTTCGGGCCCTCCCCCTTCTCCTTGGCCACGAGTCCGTGCAGGATGTCCTCGGTGACCGAGGCGACATCCTCCTTCCTGGGGGGAGTCGCGTTCCCTTTGGCGACGCTGGCTGCTGCAGGCGTCCCTGGCGACGGTGGCGTTGGCGCTGCTGGCGACGGTGCCCCTTCTGAGGCGGAAGATGGAAGAGAACTCGGGGCAGCGTCCTCCACGGCTGCGAACGCCGAGGCTGCGGCACGTTTCGCGCCGCCTCCCAGGATCTTGAGGTTCAAAGGGCCCGTCTGAGCGCCGACGTCCGCCCGCCGCAAGTTATCGAACATGAGCTGCATCATCTGCAAAACGTCGGGCTGCGACGCCGAGGCGCTCATCACCTGCGCCCCCGTGGCCTGCTGCTTTGTGTTGCGGCATGGGTGCGTAGCCTGGACGGAGCGAATCGCGGCTTCTGGCGCGGGGCATGCAGCTGGCAACTCGTCGCCATACACTTGCTTGAAGAAGTCAGGGTGGTTCTCGCAGAACGTCGAGGGGGACGTAGGCAGCTCGGTCAGCCGAACGGGGGGCGCAGGAAGCCTCGAAACCTTCGTGGGTGAAATTGCGGCCAGGGGAAACTGCCTCCTCCTCCTCCTCCCCCTCCCCCTCCTCCTCCCCCACCCTCCCTTCTCCTAGGTCCCCCTCCCCTCGACGAGGGTCGCAATTTCAGCTGCAGCCTGGCGCTTGAACACGCGCTTGGTCTGCTGGAGGTACGAGTACTTTGCAGCCCGCGCCAAATTCTTCGCGGCCTCGGCTCCGCCCACGGCCGTGCGCCACATCGCCGTCAACATCTGATACGTGCCTTCGGTCGGGTTGCGAAGACCTAAGCTAATCGCAACATCAACCAGCACGTTGAGCTTCGCTTCCTCGGGCACGTCGGTCCGCGCCAACTGGTGCCACGAGCCCGCTGTCAGGTACCCGAAGATGCACTCATAATCCTGCTGAGCCATTCGCAAACCCACGGCGCTGCCAGAAGCCACGATGCTGCCGAGCTTCTCCAACAGCCTCCCCTTGGAAACCTCGGACCAGGGTTGCGCTGCGACGAGAGACGAGAGGGTTGTCACCTGCGTGGGCTGCAGCCTCGCGCTCCCGAAAGCCTGCGCGAGCATCCTTTCCTGCGCGGCCGCTACCGTATCGAAACAGGGCTGCCCTTGCACTGCCTCGAGCAATCGCCCGACGGCCTCGACTTGGTCGCGCAAGCGCTGGGCAGCCATGGCTATGCGGCCCCACCCCCCCAAAAAAAAACGCGCGGGCTTGCGTATGCAAACGGCTTCGAATGATGGCGCAGTGGGGGCGGCATGGGCAGGGGCCTCATAGCGAATTCATCGCTTATAGCGAATTGATCGCTCAGATAATTGCACAGCGAATTGATCGCTCAGAGAACCACATAGCGAATTCATCGCTTATAGCGAATTGATCGCTCAGATAATTGCACAGCGAATTGATCGCTCAGAGAACCACATAGCGAATTTATCGCTCATACCCAGGAATGCGTTAGCGAATGCATCGCTGTCATCGCCCTTCCCCCCTCCTTTCTTCTCGCCGTCCTACTGGCTAACTACCGAACCACAGGGGGGGAGGGGAGGGGAGGGGCATGGAAATTGAAGAAGTTATGAAAGTTATAAGATGGTTATATGTCGGTTATAAGTTGTTGTGTAAGTATGGTTAGGGGCACCGTGTAAGTGTAGTTGCGGCTTCGGTAAGTACACTTGCATCTGAGACAGCTACATCTATAAGTGTGATAAGGCACTCTACTTTGCTAAACCGAAGTCGCTGCGCCAGCAGGGCCGCGCCGGCGCGTTTTCTGAAAATCCAAACCGGCCGCGCCGGCCCCGGCCAGCGGGCCCCGCGGCCGCCAGAAGTCAGCTTTTTCTTTCTTTCTGTAGCTCGAGGTCGGTGTTTCTAGCTTTCAACTAGCTTTTGGGTGGCTTGCAAGCAGCTCGTCTAGCTCCGGGAAGTAGCTTTTTTGATGCCCCCCCCCCCTGCCCTGGGGTCGGATAGATCTTATTTTAAGAACATGTCCAGATCTTATAATAAGAACCATAGATCTTATAATAGGAACGATCGTGATCTGAAACATATGAAACACATACAACTTAGATACTTAAGTATTACCAGCGTGGGTAAGCCGTTGTCAACGAGCAAAATGCATTATTTCTCATGATTGTGCCCGCGCGCGCCTGATTGTAGCAAGTACATTGCACACTGGCCACAGGCGTGGCGCACGGGGCATCGCACGGTCCAGGCGGAAGCGAGACTGCCATCCCTTCACACCTCCATATTCCCACCTTCAACGTGTCATCGCACAATTGATCTCCAATACGTCAACCTCTCGTAGCCCGTCCCACTCCGCTAACCTCTCACCTCACATTACATGCACATTGTCCTAACGGCGCGCCGATGTGCAGATAGCACAGTGAAGAAGAGAAGGGAGGACTGACAATGAGAGAAATGACCCATCAAGCTAGCGATTGGACAGGATTTCGAACATAATTCAAGTGCAGTGCAATCGGCAGCAATCGATTGCACTGCACTCGAATGAACTATATGGTCGGGTTCGCACAGGGCATGCACACATGAGTGACAACTTACCTTGAGGTAAGTTTTCGCCATGCGTGCATGATGCCAGCGATACTGGCAACCGTTTTGTCGTGGAGTTATCACCAACGCGAAATCACGCAGGTTCGCGCTGTGATACACTCCACGACAAAACATGCGCACACCCGACACGAGTGAGGATGATGAGATGGTGCGGGGAAGAGGTGAAGGGGGAACTAAGTCACTGGTCCTCGCGAAGCGAGGGGACCAAAAGGGCAGCTACAGCGGAGCAGAAGGCAGTCGGATATCGTTCCGATGCCTTCTGCTCCTTCTTGTTGCCAGTCACCCACTCAGAGCGCCAGCCTTTGGCCCGCGGCCTCGTGGAAACCCGCCTCTCCACCTGGCGCGGCGGCGCGCCGAATGAGAGAGAGAGAGAGAGGATGGAAAGAAAAGGGCGGGGCGCAGACATGACGATGAGGAGAGGAAGGGCGACGGGAGAGTGGGGAGTGAGGGCCAGGAAACGACGGTGATGAGGGCGACGGTGGATGGATATATGAACGACAGTGAGGACGACTACGACAACGTCGACGACGATGATTATTTAGCGGAGTATGCGCAGAGGAGTATGTATCTCTGCACATTATCAGCTACATAATCAGAGATTATTGATGAGTTACTGACGATTCACCGCCGATTCACCGCTGATTCACCACCGATTCACCGCTGATTCACTGCTATTACGACGAATGGTTATGTATGGTTCACCGCTGGTTCACCGCTGGTTCACCGCTGGTTCACCGCTATCACGACGAATGTTTATTGTATGATTCATCGGCCGCGTTGTCGGTGTCGCAATCGCCGAAGTCGTTTTCGTCGTCGCGACGCGTGTCATCTCACCCAAGACAGTCGAATGTCTCGGGTGAGATGACACGCGCCCGCCATCATCGACCTTGCGTCAGCGTTCACATCCCTCGCCTTATCTGGCCCTCCATCGTTCTCCGCCCGCCTTGTACAGCGGAGTCGGCCGCGTATCGGCAGCGTCGTTCACCTTCGCGGTGCTAGCCTTCCTGCCCGGCGTGCCGATGTAGAATCCCACCTGTGAGGTAGTGAGAATGATGGGCGATATCTGCTATCATATGGAAGGGGGTCGATGGGCACGGGGACTAGGGGACGGCGGTCAGCGGGCACGGGGCGAGGAGCGGGCGAGCACGGATGGGAGGAGGCGGCGCAGGTGGATGGGGGACGCGGGCGGACGCACGCAATGAGATGGAAGAGCGGAGGGCAGCGGACGGAGATGGCATAGGGTTGCCGCCGCGTTCTATGGCTCGCCCCCCCGAGAGGGCTGCGGGCGCACCCGAGCCACCCGAGGGCCGTGGGCCTTGCGCGGCACAGCTCCAGACACTGAACGCGGGATGCGAGTTAGCCTACTCGAGTGGGATAACTCACACCCCGCCGAAGTATTCAGCACGTCCCACCCCTCCGTCATACAGGGAGAGGGCGGGGGGGATGAGCACCATCATGGACGAGGAACTATGGGGGGAGATGCAAGAGACCTCCTATACATGCCGTTTCCTTATGTCTCCATCTCATTATCCATCCGACTCCCCCTCCGACGCGATGGTACGCGCGTCAACATCGCAGCGTCGCCGTCGTCGGCGTCAGCGTCGTCGTCGCCGCCGCCGTCGTCGTCGTCGTCGTCGTCGCTGTTGTCGTCCGCGTCCTCGTCGTCGTCGTCAGCGTCGTCCTCGTCGTCGTCGTCGTCGTCTCGCACCCACTCCACCCGCCCAGCGGAATACCGTTGTCGCTGAGCGGCGCCGTGCAGGGCCCCCCCCTCCGCCGCGCCGCCCCGACACGGGCCGCCCAGCGAGGACCGACAGCGCCGCGGGGCGGGGGGGAGCGTGCGTGGAGGAAGATGGGGATGACGGATGAGAGACCAATGGGGGTTACACCAGCGGCACGCAATGCTAACGGGGGGTTCGGGGGGGGGCCTGCGAGCGCGGAATGGTCGTCATGGCGGTGAGCGGCTTGACGGAGGGGGCCCCGAACCACCCCAAGTAGGTCGTGAAGTTTTTGAGGTCGGGGTGCTGGGCCAGACTCTTCAGGAAATCTATAAGCATGCTCCCCTGCGGCTGCTCCGTGCAAGTGAAGACCCCCCTGCCCCACGCCACCGTCAAGAGGAATGACCTTGGTGGATGCATTGTGATGTGCTGGGCTCGAGAAGTGATTGGATGGGGATGTGGTGGTGAGGAGTGCGAGGACGGAGTGAAGGGAATGAACGGGGGTGAAATGAAGTACATGGGGTAAACAATGAACTCGCGCAGTGTGCTCCAATCCATCGTCTTACTCAGTCGCTCTACACCGTCATTTCACCCATCCATCCCATCGTCATACCCCTTCGCCATACACCAACCATGTGCCCACCCCATGTGCCCACCCGCTCACTTGCCCCATCCATCCCCAACTCAATCCACCTACCGAGCGCCCGACAGGAAGTACGCGATGTGGTTGGCTTCCGCGACGTCGATCCTGCAATCGTTGCCCTCGAGGTTCGCCTTGCTGCGCCTGGCTGACGGGGTGGGGCGGTGATCGGCGGGCGACGGCGGGAGGGGGATGCATCGGTGTATGACGGGGTGTATCGTCAATGGATTGGGAGAGGACATCGAGCACCATGGGGGGCGGGTGAGGGGAGCGAATGTGAATTCACCGATGGTTCACCGTTGAGTCACCGCCCAACGTATACGTTGGGCTGAAACACGACATGCGCCTGAGCTCACCGCAACCGCACCGCCGCGCACGCAGCACATGCACGGCTAACGCGAAGCATCCACATACGATGCATCACTGTGCTCACCGACATGTCGGGTGGGCCGATTCGGCGACGTTCCAACTGACCCCATTCCCTGTCGACGTCGCCACCGCCGTCGTCGTCGTCACCGCCGCAGTCGCCGCAGTCGTCGTCGTCGTCGCCGTCGTCATCGTCGGCGTCGCCGTCGTTGTCGTCGGCGTCGTCGCCGTTGCCGTCGTCGTCATCGTTGTCGTCGTCACCGCCACCGTGGTCGTCGTCGCCGTCGTCGTCGTCGTCGGCGTCGTCGTAGCCGTTGTCGTCGTCGCATCCGCCGTTGTCGGCACATGCAAACTCCCTATGACACACCCGCGACCAACGTTCGACAACCATTTCGGCGCGACCCCCAATTCGACGACATCTCGGCGAACACCGCTCCCCACATCCTGGTATGTCCAATGCACATGTTCAGCCAAGTCTTGCACTCGGGTGAGTTCCAGAAGGCGCCGCCGTCTTTGATGCGCAAGACGGCGTGCGTGGCCATCAGCATGCCAGGCAGCGTGCACATGTCCTCGCTCCCGTGGCTCGTCTTCCTGGCACGGGGAGCTGCGTGGTGCACCGTCGGCGTCGCCGTCGTCGTCGCCGTCGCTGCCGCTGTCGCCGTCGCCGTCGCAGTCGTCGCCCTCGCCGCGCGTGCTGCACTGCGGGGCGGGGGCAGCAAGGACGACGCACGATTGTCAGCGCATGGGGCTAGTCCTATGACGCACAACATTGCACGACCAACACGCAAACCCAAACATGCCCCAATGTCCTGTCCATGCCGAGGGCTCGCCCCCCCAGCTCGTTGATCTTATTGGTGATGCCGCCGTGGCCGCAGCAGAGCTCGAAGGCGTCCAAGTCGCGGGTGAAATTCGGGTCGGCGTACCAACGCTTCGCCTACCGCGCTGGAGCCCCCCCCCCCCCCGCGCGCGCCGACGGGGGGGGGTCGAGGCGGGGCCGAGGGCAAGGGCGACATGATGAGAGGGGGGTGCGATGCGGCTCGGGGATCAACACGATGGCGGCCGAGTGGGCACGTGGAGGCGGATTGGGACCTGGGGGACGCACGGTGGCAAGTTGGGCGGACATGGTCGACGACTGAGCGGAGCGAGGATGGGGGGATGAACACGTGGACGTATGCTTTGATATACAACTGACCATCTATCCGTCCGCCTAGCGAGGTGAACGGTGAACTGGGTGTGGGGGTGGACAGAAGCAGGACGGATGAGCACATGCAGATCGGCATGGAATATGGACAACCACGTTTCACCACTGTGTTCCAAGCGGCTCCAAGTGAGATGTGAACGCCGAAACTCGACGGCCAACTGCCGACGATGCATCCGAATACGCGACGGCAAAGCGCCGATGATAACTGCACTGCGTCCCGCGCACTGCCCCCCTCATCACATCCCTACCACCCACACTCATCACATGACTCCGCCCCACATCCCATACCCTAAGAAGATCACACCCAGCAAGTGCACCCTAACGATCCTATGGCGGCACATCGATAGCGGCAGCTCGCGCATCGGCCAGCTCAGCACCCGTGGCTGACTGCGGCACCACTGGCGGCACCGCTGGCGGCACATCGTTGCGCTCTGTCAGCGGCACGGTGCTGCGACGGCTGCTAGGCATCTTACGAAACGGGATCGAATCAGTGCCCGCGAGCGGGTTATGAGCTGGGATTGTTGGGTCGTCAACCCGAGCAAATCCAAACCTAAGCGGGTCCCAGGGACCGAGTGGTGGGCTACCCGAGCGCCGTCGTGCAATTGCTAGGCCTCTAGCTATGCTTTGCCCGAGCGCCTTGGCTATGCTACCATCACCTGGCGAAACAGGGCTGACGACCGAACAGTCCCGCGGCCCGTCTTTCTTGGCCGAGGTGAGCGTGCTCGGAGCCTCAGGAGGGACGGCGCCGTCGCCCGAAGCTGGCGCGATCGGCGCATCAGGGGCGACGGCGGTGCCGCCGTCGCTCCGACGCGGGCGCATCAACCGCCTCGCCGTCGCCCCGACGCGGCCCGTTGGGCTCTTCTTGGGCGCAGGCACGGGCACTTGACCACTTGGCAGGGGATGGTCGGGCTGCTGATGCTGCGTCTCCACGGCCGCGGGCGCAGTGTCACGTGGCGGGGGATGGTCGGGCTGCTGAGGCTGCATCTGCACGATCTGCGGCTCGGACTCGGGCTGCACCCCCACGCGCTTCGGCACGAGCGGCGACGGGTGCGATGAAGCGCCCGGCTGAGGATGTGAGGGCCGCTGCGGCACGAGCTGCGGTTCGGGCGGCGCGACGAACGGCGGGGGATGCGAGGGCGGCTGCGGCACGCGCGCCCCCGATGATGATGACGATGCGCCACCACTCGGAACATGACCCTTCAGGCGGATGTGCATGGTATCCTCGTTGGCTGCTGCTGCTGGGGCGGTGATCACTTGTGGCCAACCTTCGGCGAGGGCTGCCTGCAACTTCGCGTGCTTCGGCGGGCGGACGACCTGCGGCTGCGGAGCGTCCGAGTCTGCTGGGCGCTTCGGCGGCGCAGGCGCCCCCTGATCCCCCATTGGCTCCCTGGTGGCGCCCCCGACGGACAGCCTGGTCACGCACTCCCTGGCAGCGTCGAAGCATTGCTGGGCAGCCTCCGCGTCCTCCATGTCGGCGTCGCCGTCGCTGGTCGGGTCGCGACGGAACTCGATGCAGACTGGCACCGTGAACTTGATCCGTGTCTCGAAGGCGCGGGGCAGGCGCGGGATGCAGACATTGATGACCACCGCCTCCAGCTCGGCGTCGCACTGCATGGGCGGCTCCCCAGAGCCAGGGGGAGACGCGGGCTCGCTAAGATGGGCCGTCACCGACTGGCCCATCCTGAACTAGAACGTATTGAGCCAAAGCGGCTGCATTTCGGGGATCGGACGGTCGCGCATTCGTTGCGACGAGTCTGAGGCGAGTGCGACACGGGCCCGAGCGTCTGATCCGAATTGAATCCCACCAGCCCTCTGGGTGTCGGTGGTTCAGAGCGTTTCCTCTTCCACCCCTCTGAATTCCCATTCGGGGAGGGGTTTACCCCTCCCCCTACACCCTTCCCCACTGACCTGGACAGGGGGGGGGGCGATCGACCAGAGCGTCCAAGATCGACACCTGGGGGGCTAAAATTCGACACCCCTCGCGATGATCGTGGCTCTGAGGGGGGGGGGCTGAAATTTAGCAACCGCATTCGTCGATCGATCTCATCCAAGATGGCTCCGCGACACGTATTGGCCCCCCTCGTGGGCCCTGCGCGCGGGCGGGCGGAGCGCCGCCCGCCCGCCCGCGAAGCCCAGGGGCCCGCCAAAACGTTCGAAGACACTTCCACTACGCCACCAGGGAGACGGAAGAGGCGGAGGAGATGGAGGAGGAGGATGAGGAGGAGGAAGAGGAGGATGGGGAGGGGGAGGAGGAGAAGGAGGAGGAGAGCAGGAGGAGGAGAAGGCGGAGGAGAAGGCGGAAGAGGGGAGGAGACCAGCTGCCGATCATCGGCGCTCTTCGTTCGAGTGCCTGGTGTAGGACGGGATGGCGGGGATGCGCGAAGCGTCAAGACTTGCAAAGCACTTGTGGTGAGTTCTAACGGCGCCACGCGCCGCGGCCCAACGATATCGGTGCGTTGGCGCCCCGAAGGCCGCCAACACGCGTCATATAACGACAATGTGTGTGCATGTGCATGTCCGTGTGTGGTTGTATGTATATGTGTACATAAGAGCCCATGTGTATATGTGAATGTGCATGTGCGTGCGTGTGCACGTCCGTGTATATGTATGTATTTACATATGTGTAACTATACATACATATATATATATATATATATATAAATGTATATACACATGTATATGTGTGCGTGTGTGCATGCACATGTCAATGCACGGGCGCGCGCGCGTGCGCCTGCGCATGGTTGGCGCAGACAAGGAAGGGCCTAGCTACGCAGACATAGACGGGGATCTACACACATATGCAAGGGGAGATGCGGTGCGATATAGAGTGTGCATGGAGAGAGGGGGGGGCGCGACGGGGGGCATTGCGAGGGGGGGGTATAGCGTGCGAGGGAGAGCGAGGGAGGGAGAGAGAGAGAGGGAGAGAGAGAGAGAGAGAGAGAGAGAGAGAGAGAGAGAGAGAGAGATAGAGAGAGAGATAGAGAGCGAGCGAGTGGGATAGATGGGTCTAGACTGGCGTTTGCAGGGCGGCTCAGCTGGGGGTGGGTCAAGGAGACTGAACCTACGAGATTGGGAGGGGGGGCGGTGATGCACGGGGGTGGGAACAACAGTCGGTTGCCTAGGGTCGTGCCCGACACATTCGGTGCGCACGCGCGCGGGGGGCAATGTATATGCGGGCTTGTCCGAGACAAAACGAGTTAACATTTTTTGTTCATTGAGCGCTCTGGTTCATAAGCCGACCCCCCCAGAGGCCCGAGAATATCCGAACTCGACAATCCTGGCGGCACCACGGCGACACAGCGCGCGCTGTCGCCATGCACAGACACGGGGGGCATGGACAATGGCGACGCATGGTGCGCTGCCGTCCTACCTGGACACGGCTAGGATTCGAACGCACGTTGCAGTGTCACACTTAGCCAGACGAGAGCAAGTCATCACAATGCATTCGCAGCGCCTGCTGCCTGCACTGGTCCACGAGCCAGGCGGAGTTCGAGGCGTTCAGCATCAAGGAGTCCACTGGGCCCTCGGAGGAGGCAGCGCGGCAATGCAGTGGAGACGGGACGAGAGTGCATAACTTGAGCATGGGAAGTGCGCAGAGCGACTGAGGCAATGGATAATGATGTTTCGGACGGGATATATCAACTAGGTGAGTGCACACATCAGCGCTATGCCCCCCCTCCTGCAGGAGGGGGGCGTAGGGCTGATCGTGTACCTTGTCTGTTTCTCCATCCTGGCTGATCTCCCACACCGTTGCTCCCCGCTGTCTCCATATCGCGTATCCCTCACTGCGTTGCCGCGATGCTTCGCTTAGCCCGTCCTTCTTCTCCTCTCCCCATATTCCATCCATGCATAGTCTATCCCGCCAGCCCTCTACCTCCTTTCATCGCCCCTCCCCGTAATCCCTCCAGGCTGGCCTCAAATGCCTCTGATCTCCACTGACTTCAGAACGCCCATCTCCCATGCCCGATGCACCCGCTCCTCCCTAAGAAAATGAATAATGGCAGGCCTTCGGGCAGATATCCACGATCCACTCGGGGACGCCGTTGTTCAGGCCCACGGACGCCATGGGTCCACAGCCCGCCGGTTCGCAAACTCAACCGATCCAAAAAAGTTGCTGTTGGGATTTAGTACTGCTTGAATCTGCACACATTGAAAAATCGATTCCTCGAACGTCAACCTATGTGCCCGCTGGGCGCAGTTCCTGAGCGTAAGGTTCAGTGTTTCGTCAATGAACGTGGAATAGAATTTTACATTGCCCATCCAGTTGCTCCTGGCAACATGCCTCATCATGTAGCACGGGGGCGAGGGGGCATGCTGCTATGGTTATCGGTCAGCGCTGGGCCGTCGCCCGCGTACCACCCGAGAGCCATGACATCATGTCCCCTCCGCCCGTGTCACGTTGAGATATGTCGCTCGTCCATGTTCCTGACAGTCGCGTGGGCGAACAGGTGGTGCTTTGGCACGAACTCGATTTTAGCATCTGCTGAATATATAAGAACTTTCTTGCAACTGTCCATTGCTTTCTGGTACTGGGGGGTGGTGAGCACAGTGTCTGCGTTCTCGAAAACGTCAAGCCACTCGTCCATGGCAGTCGCAGCAGCTAAAAGAGGCTCCCACAGTGGCATTCCAGCCCCCTTACCTTCCAATTCCCACCTGGTGAAATCCATAAGCACCCTCGATTCAGCAGCCTTCGCTTTTAACATGGTACCTGGATGAAGGCGGGCCCCGTCGTCCATCATTCCGCGGTCAGAACCGAGCATTTTAATTGTCAGCCCCCCAAGGCGACGGTCATGTGCAATCTGTTTCTGATCGAACCACGTGAACATATCAGCTTCTATGCGTTGGCAACACTTAGTATAAACCGTGTCTTTGTCCCCTGTGTATTTCCATGGGTTCAATTTAATTAATCTCCACAATCCCGTGCTGGCCCACCGAGTGATGGGGCCGTAGTAGACTGTGTGCAGACTGTCGATGGCCATCGTCGTTGCAGGGCTCGTCCCCCATTCTTGCTTGAATAAAGGGCAGCGGTGAGCCACCGAGTCCATCAGTCGGTGTTTCTCGTCTTTGTGCACCCTCCAAAATTTAGCGACGCCTCTGAACCCTACCTCATCGATGTTTCTGATGTCTACCATCCCTACGTGAGGTTCGAGGCGGTCGCCACAACGAAGGCCAAGATCAACGACATCGTGCTTCAAGGCCCGCCCGTGGTTCCCCGCGCCCTTTTTCGCCTTGTAATATACCAGTGCTCGTACAACCCGAATGCGAACGTCTTCCGAATCGATTCGCACATCAATCTCGCACTTCTTGCACGCGCGCTCGTAATCCAGCAACGTGCGATCTGTGAACATCACACCTCCAGTGTTCATACAATCGTAGCACGCGTGCATATTCGGCTTGTCGGTCGTACATATGGGACACGGGTTCAAAATCTTCCCCCACGATCCCAAACCAAACGTTTTTGCAAATTCGCTCCAATCGCCCTTAACGTATAACAACATGCACCTGAACCCGAAGTCGTGTTGCCCATTCATCGCCCCTCGCTCCTCCCCGTCAGCCCAATCACTACCGTCCCACTTCGTATCGGGCACCTTCCCTTGAACAAGTGCGCCGATCACCCATGCAATGTACGAAAGAAATGCGAATACTGAGCACCACCCATTACACCCGCACCTGCACATGTCGAGCTGACGCAGAACACCGATGACATGACGTTTATTCGTCAAGAGGTTGACGCACGTCGCAACGAGAATACTGTCACTACGCCCAGCCTGCAAGGCCGTGAACCGCACGCCGTCCACATAGACGGCAAGAGGCAGCGGCAACCTCCCAGTCTCGTCTGCACATGTCTTCGTCAGTACGTTGTCTCTGTAACATGGTAGGTTAAGTGGGGAATTCGGGTTCTCGTAGTCTCCGTTTTCTAGAAGAGCAAGTGCTTGTGGTGTCAGGGACATCTCCTTAGCTACTGATGCGTATGAGAGTGTAAACGGTACTTTCCTGGAACCCTGCTCTGCATGACCACGAACGTATGACGGCATTGTTACACGGGTGGTTGGGCACGTCGTTGGCAACATTCTGTTCAAGTGATGCTTGTATTTGCCAGATTGGTGCCCAGGGGCCATGCCATAATCCTCGAAGTACGCCCCCTCAACACCAGCCAAGTGTAAATAGTGACACATGACGCACACATCCTTTGCAGACACTGGAGCACACTGCGAGTACATGTCCAAGATCAGATCGAACAGTTTCGACCCCGCCTGTCTTGGATCGAGCTCGGGGGCACTCGCATCGGGGACACCATGGCGTCGTCGTCGTCGTGGCGGTTGGTGCATCATGTTCGATTGGCGAAACGACCCCCCTACGGAAGAAGTTGAGCCGAAACTTCGACGTCGTGTACGATTTATTGATGCATCGCATTTCGATCGCTCGAACGTCCCAGTCGCTGACAATCCAACGTCGCATCGCGTGTGCTTCGGTAGACACAAGTACATGACATAATGTGAAACGTATGGTGCGAGCACGTACGGTTATGCATGCGCGTATGGTTGCATAGCCATGCATGTGCGGACACGTTAATCATGTGCAGTAGGTACCTAAATCACTCACCGATGTACGTTTCTCATCGCCCCTCGAACCCTCCCGCCACCAGTGCAAACGTCGGCCCAGGCGGGCCCCCGATCTCTCGACTCCAGCAGCTGCGTCGCTGCTGGAGCACCGAACGGCACTGCCCCGAAGCATACATTTCGCTGGTGCAGCCCTGCACCTCGCCTGCAAATGCACCCAGCCAGGGGCCTATGCCAAAAGATTGAGGCGCCATCTCGCCAGCGCCGTGCACATCATGATGTGCACTAACTCAACTGTAAACTCAACTGCAAACTGTGAGCTCGGGCGCACTCTGCATCTAAAAAGTCAACGCAATCACATGTACAAACACACCTGGCGATGTCACCTGTGAGTTCACCGGTCGTTCACCGGTCGTTCACCGGTCGTTCACCGGTCACCGTTCACCGCTCGTTCACCGGTGACCTATGCGTTTTTTCGGGGATGTATCGGGCGGGAGTGATCTCCCTTCACCGCTCGTTCACCGGTGAACGGTCATGTGATTCACCGGTCCGTTCACCGGTCTTTCACCTGACGTTTCTCTTCAAAAAACAGTTCCACACATGTTTAACAATGTATGAGGCTGTTTTTTGAAGAGAAACGTCGACTGACGACAACCAGAACACAAAAACGCGCTAGCAAATGCACCCGAGCTCGATCGAGCCGCACTCACATCGAAAACTGAGTGCGGCCAATCACTAACATGCTCTGGCTTGCACCAAGCAGACTCAAAGGTATCCTCCCTTCCTGACCCTCCAACCATTTCATCTACATCCTCACTTTCTGACCCTCCAAACCCTTCATTCGTCCCGCAAGGGTAGGCTCAGGCTGACTGGCGCTGCCGCTTGCCCGCCTTGCTCGTCTGCTTCTTGATCTGCTCGAGCGTCTGCTTGTGCATGCGCAGGATCCTCGACGCCGCCGTCTGCAGGTTCTTGAGCGGCTCCTGGGAGCCAGCAGGACAAGGCGCGCCCGCCCCTGACATGCTACTCTCTATCATTTCACAATCATATTCCCCATTACCGCCACCCCTGATCCCGCTCCCCCTCTCATCAACCCTCGACCATCACCCCTCATCTCGTACCCCCCCCTCCTCGACCCCATACCACATCTCGCAGACATCCCCATCTGCATCATCATCCTCGGCATTCCATGTCTTCATCGACCATCTCCCTCATGTGTCATCGTCTTGTCATCCTCCTCATCGCCCCCCTTCCTTCAGCGCCGTGGCCCCTTTCTGAAAGTTCACCTCCAGCTGGCTCGCGCCGATGCGGGCCTTCATGTCACCGTAGTCGTTGACGGCCAAGAGCTCCTTCAAGGCCGCAGTGCTGTTCACCGCTGTCTGCGCCTGGCGGACACCCCACCCGCGCGCGCCTCTCCTCCTCCGTTACCCCCTGTGTGTGTGTGTGCGTGGCGTAGCTACGCCACGCACACACGCACACACACGCACGCGAACACTTACAGACGCGCACGCATGCACACACAACAACACACGTGCATACACATACACAAATATCATAAACAGTCCCGAACATCCCCTCGCTAACCCCCCGATTCGCCCAGGATCGGCGAGCTCGCGTTCGGCCCCGTCGCGGCGCTGCGGCCAAGGACGGACGCCACCCAGCGGGAGGGGGCTGGGCAGGCAGGGGAGGGCAAGCGTGGAGGAGAGGTGGTTCGTAGGTGGCGGAGGCGGGCGAGCGCCACGATTGGCTCGATCGAGTGGTCGCACATCGTCGCCCAGCGGGATCGATTTCACGCCCGTGGCACCGTCTGCTGGGCACTCTCCAGCGCCCCGCGGTTCTGCTCGTTCTTGGCCCAGTCCCACTCCGAGTTCGACTCGATGAGGTCCAACGTCGTGGAGGTCTGCTGCATGAGCCCGCGGAACAACGACTTCTCCTTCTTGAAGTCGGCCATCGCGACGTCGAGGGACGTCTTCTCTCGCTTGAGCGGGGGCTCGCCGTCGTCGTCATCACCAGCCTCCTCACAGGCGCCCCCCGCCTCCTCAAGCTCCCCTGCCTCGGGCGCCGTCGTGTCAACCAGCGCCGCCTCCTCATCCGCCTCATCATCGCGATGAGCTGCAGCGGGCCTCCTCATGACTGCAGCAGCCTTGCCCTTCGCCTTGGCTTTCGCCGTGGCGAGTGCACCGCCGCGCGTCGATGCACCGTCGCTGCCGTCAGCCGTCATCGCTGATGGCCCTGCCGCGCCGCCGCCCTCGAGGCAGAGGGCGTCCTGGACAGGCTGCGGCGCATTGCACCACTCCTCATGCGCCGTCCAGGCCGTGACGTACTCGTCCGAGATCTCGTGCTCGACGTAGTAGAACTTGAGCGTGTTCGTCATTGAGTCCCACTTCACCCAGTGCTTGCCCAGGATGATACAATTCGTCGCGTACGTGGTGGCCGCCTTGAGCCCGTCCTTCCCCCCTCCCTCCTTGTGGGCGATCCTGGCCAGCGCCAGGTACTTCCCACTCAGCTTCTCCGACTTTCTGTTCGTCGTCGTCTTCGAGCGCCTCTCCCAGAACTGCTTGTAGCGTTTCTCGCCCCAGTCGGCCCTGAACTTGGCCTTGTTCGGGAGGCCGAGCGTGTTCTTGTAGTCCTCCTTGAGTTTGCTGTCGGCCGCCAGCGCGCGGTTCCACATCGACGATATCTTCTCGCCCCGCGTCTGGAACATGAAACTGCCGCGCTTCAGCTCCTCCCACATCTCCTCCTCCTCCGCCATCTTCTTCGCCCGCTTCTCAGCGGCGTCGGCAGACGCATCGCCATGGCCATCGGGACCTGCGTCGCCGTGCTGGAGCGCCCGAAGGTTGCTCATCACACCGAGGCCGTAGAAGTTCTTCAGCTTGTCCTGGAGCGCATCCGCGCACAGCGCGTCAGCACCCATCTGAATAGCGCGCTGCGCGCGGCTGAGCTCGTCCAGCACGTCCTGAGGGACACACGAACCAGTGCATGGCGGGGCGTCGGTGAGTTATAACTCGTTGACGTCCCGCCATGCATGGCACTGGTTCGTGCCATCTATATATATATATATATATATGGCACGAACCAGTGCCATATCTGGCACGAACCAGCGCCCGTGGGGCGTCGACAAACGTTCGGTGAAATATGGGCGCTAACGCCCATAGCTCACCGAACACGCGTCAACGTCGTGGGCTCAATGAGGGTTAGTGCTTTTACTATCTGAAGTCCTGCTTGTAGATGACGCCGCTTGGCACCTTGACGTCCAGCACCGCTGGGGCGCTGCCACCAGCGACGTCGCCACCGCCGACTGCGGGTGGCACCTTGCCCAGCAGCGAGCTGGCTGGCACGGCAGTGGCCACGGGGCTGGCCTTGAAGCGGCATGCCGTGGCGATGTCATCTGCCGTGATGCCGTCCACCACCTGCGAGGGAATGTTGTCCTCGCGCGAGGCGGGGGAGAGATGGCACATCCTCCCCGTCGTCGTTGACCCCTACCCTACTCAACTCACCGTCGTCGTCACTACCGTCGTCGCCATCGTCGTCGTCGTCGCCGCCGTCGTCGTCGTGGTCGTCGTCATCGTCGGCACTACCACATCATCCCCACCCTCATCAGCTTAGGCTGAGGGGAGTCATCCTCATCATATCCTAGTCATCCTCTCCTTGACCCCAAGCCCCGTTCTGTCCTTGGCAGCGTCGTACACCGCGGGGAAGGGGGTCTCCGTGGTGTCCTCGATCGGGGACATCCGCTGGAGGAGCCGATCGACCCTGGACACGGGGGCGGCGGGCGGCGGCACCTTGAGCCCGCGAGCGGGCGGGTAGACCTCCGTTGACGTCGAATGCCATGGCCCCAGCTTGCACGAGGTCTCCGCCTCGGCTCCAGCTCGAAACTGGGGCAGGCACGGCGTCTCCTCCTCATCATCACTCGGTGGCGACTGCAGCAGCTCCGACTTCCAGCGCCTCCTCCTGCCGTCGGCCCAGGACGCGGGCTCTGGGATGATGCCGTGCGCCGCCAGGTGCTGCTTCGGCGTCGGGGTGGCCGCGGGCTGCGGGGGCGTCGGCGCGACCACGGGCGCCGCCGACATGGCGGGAGCGGTCGCGCCCGCCACTGGGGCCAGCACAGGGATCTGCAGCCTCTGGGGCGGCTGGACTGTCATGCCTGCCGCTGCGTCGGCTGCCTCGTGGCGCTTGGCATCCCTGCAGGCCACCTCGCCCTGCGCGATCATCACGAGCTCGGCCAACCTAGCCGCGTCGTCACCCTCCCTGACCTGCGACAGCATCTTCGCCAATGCCGACACTGCGGCCCTCCCGCGGTCCCAGGCGCTGGCATCACCAAGCGACGAGAGATTATCCAGTGCCTGTGCGAACGTGTTCTCGATGTCTGCCTGGGGCTGAGGCGCGGGGGGAGGCGCGCCCGTCTGTCCCAGCGGAGTTGCGGGAGTGGGATCGCCAGCGACGCCCAGCGGGGCGCCCGCGACGGTGCTGGGCGTCGGGGGGGCAGCCGACTCCGTCGGAGAGCAGATCGGGGACCGCGTGCGATCCCGCGCGGCCGCCACTCCGTCGGCGAGCGTGCGCGCGGGCGCATGGGCGCGGGCGCGGGCGCGGCCGCATCGCGCCGCCAGCGCGGGCGAGGGCGGCGCCGCCTCGCCCCCCTTCCGAAGCGGCTGCCCGCGCGCCTCCGAGCGCGGGCGTCCTCCAACGCCATCAGCGGGCGTCACCTCCTCAGCGGGCGGCTGTACCTCCTCAGCGGGCGTCACCTCCACAGCGGGCTTCACCTCCTCAGCGGCGCTGGCGCCACCGCCGCTCCTGGCGGGCGGCTTCACCTCTTCAGCGGGCGTCACCTCCTCAGCGGGCTTCACCTCCTCAGCGGCACTGTCGCTCCCGGCGGCCCGCGCGGCCGCGACCTCTGCGCAGCGGCGCTGGATGAAGTCGCGAGCCGCTGCCGCCCCCCCCTCGATCGGCGCGGCTCCGACGGGTGCGAATGCGGGCATGCCGGGCAACGTCTCCGCGAACATGCCGACGCTCTGGCTCGTGGGGGCCTGGTCCTCCTCATCGGTGGAGCCGCCGAGGTCCACGGGGTCGACGGGCCGCCCGTCGGGGCGGATGCCTCCATTCTTCCCGCACGGTCTCGAAAGGACGGAGCACGCGGGGTCGAACGTGTAGTGCTCCTCGCTGCCGCAGGCAGCGCACGCCATGGGCGGGGGGCCGTCGGACATCTCGAGCGCTGGGCTGCGCCGAGGGGGACTGAACTGCATGCTGCGGATGTAAGTGCGGATGTCCTTAAAGACGGGTGGGGAGCTGGCGGCCCGCTTCACCATCCAGAGCCTAAGGCATGTGCTGTGGGTCGCAAGGCGATAAGAGCGGGGATGAGTTGGAGGGGCGCTCACTGGGATATCGAGGGGAAGGGGGGATGGGGGGGGAGGGGAACGGGAATGCGATTGCAGGGAGGGAACGTCGAGGGCGGGGATGGCGACGCGGTGCTCCTCTGGCTGAGCTCACATTCGCAAGCAGTTATGGGTACATCGCCCCCCCTCGCGACACTACCGAGCTCAAGTCCACAAGCAATGATTGACGATTCGCATATCCCCACCAGCTCATCCTACACCAGGCACTCGAACGAAGAGCGCCGATGGTCGGCAGCTGTTACCCTCCTCTCTTCCGCATTCTCCTCCGCCTTCTCCTCATTCTCCTCTCCCCCTCCTCCCTCTCCTCCCCCCCCCCTCCTCCTCCTCGTCCGCCTCGTCCTCCTCCATGGTGGCGCATTGGAAGTGTCTTCGAACGTTTTGGTGGGCTTTTGGGCTTTGCAGACGGGCGGGCGGCGCTCCGCCCGCCCGCGCGCAGGGCCCAAGAGGGGGCCCAAGACGTCTCTCGGAGCCATCTTGGAGGAGATCGTTCAACAAAGGGGGGTTCCTAAATTTCAGCCCCCCCCCAGGAGCCACGATCCTCGTGAGGGGTGTCGATCTTGGACGATCTGACCGATCGCGCCCCCCCCTGTCCAGGTCAGTGGGGAGGGGGTAGGGGGAGGGGTGAACCCCTCCCCGAAAGGGAAGAAAAATTGGTGGAAGAGGAAACGCGCTAAACCACCGACGCTCAGAGGGCTGGTGGGATTATGGGCGCGCGCGCGTTGTAGCGAGCACCCCATCCCCCCCGCGGTCCCATCCCAGCGGATAAGTGAATATCGAAGGCCCGTGCTGTCCCAATATCGCCCGACGGCTGACTTTACCGCGGCGAAGCGCCCACGCCACGCGAATGCGCGCACGCCCGCCCCCACCCCCCAGACACAAACATCACTAATATGGTAGTTGGCGGACACGCGCGCGCATCGGGCAAATTCAGCGGCCGCTGACGTTGCCCGATGCGGCGCGAGGACGGTGCGAGACGGTCACGGATTGCCAGCCGTCGGGTTTAACCGATGCTGCGACACTCGACCATTGTTGCAAGTTCACCAAATTGCCACCCCCAAGCAACTGTCGCGGGCATCGTTTCTGATCGGGCCGACGGGGATACGCGAAGCGTCGGGGTACGCGAAGCGTCGGGAATCACACGCAGCACAATGGGATGCCAGGCGTAACCTCTCTCACGGGTGCCACGCGGGCGGGTGTACATCACCTCGCGCGGGTGGCTCACATGACACATCGCGCGACGGGTACACAGCACCTCGCGCGGGTGGCTTACATGACCTCACACGCCCAGCGAGCGGCCGTGAGTGCAGAGTTACTTTTCGCAAATGCGAGCTCGCGGAGTCGCGCCAGTCGGCCTGGCGGCCCCGCAGGCGTCTGACGTCGGGGCCAAGCTGGCAGCACTGTCGCTGCGCCCCGCACCGAACTTACAGAAACGAAGGTGTGCGCCCACCCGCCTCTCTCCAGCCTGTATCCTGCCCCGCCCATCCACCCATGACGTCATGCCATAACACGTGCTAGCCACCCCTCCGCCCCCTCACCATCCAACTGCTCCCCATGCATCGGCCGACGGACCCGCGCACCCGCTCCCACCGTGGCGCCGCGAGGAGCATCACCACGCGTAGTCCGTGCACATGTCGGGGATCACGTCGGACGAGGCCGCGCCGACCGACGCGCGGCCTCTGGCGGACGGGGGTGGGCGCCGCATCTGATGCTATCCTCATCTTACACACCTTTCTGAGTGCATCGTCTTACACGTCGCATCTGTCGTTTTCATCGCAGTGATGGTCATGCCCCGCATCGACCTAGCATGGCCCGCCGCCCCCTGCGCGCAATCATCCCCTTCACCGTTCACCCCTGCATTCCGCCCCATCCACCCACTCGTTCATCCCGTCATCCATCCATCTACCCTCCACCCATCGCCCTACGACCATATCCAGGCAGATGCCCGCTTCCCCACCCCGCGCACGCTGCATCCTCTACCCGACTCGTTCATCCCGTCATCCATCCATCTACCCTCCACCCATCGCCCTACGCATATCCAGGCAGATGCCCGCTTCCCCACCCCGCGCACGCTGCATCCTCTACCCGACTCGCAATATCTCTGTCGGCGAGAGGCAGGCGAGGAGCGAATGCGAACCCCCGATGCTAGCCTGTGCCAGCTGCAACGTCGCCCGGCGGGACGTTCTCGATCACCTTCGCGATGTCGGCCGCGCTCTCGTCCTGGGATGGCGCGGTGAGATGCGCGAGTGGATCGGTCGAGGGGCGGGTGGACGAATCGAACGGGCTCAAGCGCGGGTGAGAGGGGCGAGAGTGGACAGGGCGGACCGTGGACGCACGGGCGCAAGCCCAGCCGAGAAGAACGCGGCACCGCCCTTCAGACGCGCGCTCTTCTCGGCGGGGCGTGCCGAGGCCACTCGGGATGACGGGCGGCTGGGTGAATCAGACATGGGAACATGCACATGCGATGCCACTCAGGTCAACACACCAATACTAGACTCATCCCTCGATGCACCCGCACCGCCACTAACCCGTCGATCGGTCACTACATCCCGTCGCCCATTCCACCCCCACCAACCCACCGCTCCGCCTCTCCCGTGCATCCCCACTGCCCGCGTCTCACCATCAGATCTTACCACCCACGCAGCCGCGTCCCTCCACATCACCCCCCCTCCCGCCCGCCTCATCGCTCTCGGCGGTTGCGGGCGTGGGCTTGCGCTTCGGCTTGGCCGTTGCCTTCGCCTTGGGCGCGATCGCCTCGGAGCTCTTGAAGGCGGCGGGCTTGGGCCTCAGAGCGAACTTCGGCTTGACCACCTGGCGATCGCCCATTCCACCCCGCAGTCCTGACACCACCCCCTTCAATATTTACCGCCCCAGATCCACACGTGCCCCATGCACGGTCACCCATGCCTACATCCATCCATCCCACCCCCCATCCCCACATGCCTCATAACCCCTCCACCACACTCAACTTACCACCCTCAGGTCACCTCCACCACCTCATTCAAGCCCCCGCTCAACACTCGGAACTCAGTCCTCACATTGGCACCCCAGCGAGCTTCTCAGGGGCGGGGGGTGGGGCGTAGGAAGGGCGGGCAAGTACGTGGCACCACCTTGGCCGCCTTCGTTGCAGGCTCACCCGCCTCCTTCCCTGCTGGCTTCCCACGCTTCAGCGTCGGCTTCAGTGGCTGCTCGTCATCCTCGGTGTACTCGTTCTCCTCGTTAGCATCGTCTTCATCTTCGGGATCGTCGTCGCCCTCCTCATCTTCTTGGTCGTCGTCGCCCTCTTCATGTTCCTTGCTCATCAGGTCTAGCTCGTCGGGCTTGTCCTCGTCATCCTCAGCCGCCTTCTTGGACGGCGGCCTGCCAGCTGGACGTTTTGCAACGGGCCCCGTTGATTTGGCATATGCTCTCTTTGCCTTGCCGAAGTAGATGTTTTTCTGTGCCGTCAGTTCGTCATTGTCAATGTGCCCTGCTGCGTACTTCTCTGCAAGCGTGCTGATCCACTGTATATCTGCAGCCATATTCGCCACATCAACCACAGTCATGTTACATATCATACCTGGACGCTTACCAGAGTCGGTTGCCTCGAAGATGGCGAGAAACTCTGTTCGCACGCCCGTGGCCTTGTGCCCCCTGTGGTACCGCAGCGCAGTCACCTCACTCCTTGACTCACGATCGCCCCCTTCAAACATATCTCTAGCCCACCCCGAACATGTATAGCTCCACTCCGCACCCTGCTACCCTCTGCACGTGCCGCGATTTCTCGCTGTCGCCCCCCGCTGTCCCGCCCCCCCCCCATCCATGGGGCCCCGTGCGCCCGCGTCGCCCCGACCCCCGTTCACCCATATCCTCTCAACCGTGCCTGCACACCAATCCCCCATTCACTCCTCATCCACTTCACCCTCCTTGTCTTCTCATCGGGGGGTGACCTTGTTGCCGTCGGTCGTCTCGCCCTTCCAAAACGTCTTCTCGGCGGGCTTGCCCTGTCGCTTGTCGAGGCCCATGTCCTCCCACTTCTTCCACGTGATGCCTGGCGAGGCGCGCGCCCCCCCCCCCCCCCCCCCCCCCCCGACCATGCATGCACTCACCGAAGGAAAAGATAAACGGAGGAAACACGTAAACAGATGGGGTGGATTGATCGATGCGGGGTGGGTGGAGAGAGGGACATTGCAAAAGGATGGAGTGTGGCGATCGAGGAGCGAAATGTCACCCAATAGGATTGTGCTTCAAAAGGTCGGGTTGGAGGGGGGTCGCGGGGTGAGTGGAGGGCGGAGCGGTCGCGACATTTCAGCTGCGCCCCCCATCGGCGACATTTCGGCTGCGCTCCTTATCAGTAGACAGAGACTACATCACGACCCCCCCCCGCACTCCACTCACCCCGTCAACCCCTCATCAAGCCCGACCTCTCCAGCCCATACTAATGCCAATACTCAACGACAGGTCGGATGCGCCCTCCTCCGCCGCGCGGTGACATTTCGGCTGAGCCCCATCTCTCCAGATCTCTCTCTATCTCTCCCTCTATTTCTCTCTCGCTCTCTCTCTGTCTCTCTCTATATTTCTCTTTCTATCTCTCCGCATATCTCTCTCTATCTCTCTCTATCCCTCTCTATCTCTCTCTCTATCGCCCTCTCTCTATCCCTCCTTATAGCTATCCTCACACTATCTATATCTCTGAATGCACTATCAGATTCCCCCCCCCCCCCACCCCGCCGCCCGACCCTACCAGCCCCTATCCACATCCACATCCACAATCGTCGCACCCCCGCCCCCCCGCCAGGCACGACGTACTCTGCGCCGTCGTCGAAGTGCGCGACAATGTGGTCGTCGTTGTCCGTGCCAGGCGGCCTCTTGATGGGGTTGCTGTACTCGGGCGGGCCGCCTTTGTAGTTGCGGTATGCCGCCTTGCGCAAGCGGGATGCGAAACGGATGGGAACCAACGGTGAAGCGGAGATGAATCGGAAGTGGAGTGGGGCTTGAATCGGAGGCGAAGCGGCGGTGAATTGGAGGTGAATTGGGGGTGAGCGCAGCGAGTTTTGAGCGAGTATGGATTCGATTCGAGGTGAAGCGGAGGTGAATTGGAGGTGAATTGGAGGTGAATCGAAGCAAGTTCGAAGCAAGTTCGAGGTGAATTGGAGGTGAAATCGGCACCCGGCGGGATGCCCCGCCTCACAGTTTCCTCATCATTATCTCTTCATCACGACGTCCTCCCCACCGTTGCCTCATCATCTTCACCACTCACCTCGCACCACTTCCTATTATATCGCCATCGCTGTCGTCGCCGTCGTCGTCGCAGCGGCTGGGCCACCCCCATGTTCTCGCTCCACGCGTAGCTGTAGTCTTCGTGCTTCTTCTGGCATGATGCGACCTAGAGGCGGGATGGGATCAGGAATGGACGGGAGTGGCTGACATGGGGGGGGTCAAATCGGGCCGCGAGGCGAACGGGCAACGCGATGTGAGCGGACGGCATTCCTCCATTCCACCTCACTCTCGTCCACTCCGTTCATCTCAATCACCCGCTCCCCCGCCACCAGCATTTCTCCGCCCCTCATCCTTCCCACTGTCACTCGGCCCTCCCGCCCGTCCCTCATGCATCTGGCCCCGCCCATCCGAAACACAAGTTTACCCTCCTCCCCACCTCGGCCTCCGCTTCGACATACGCCTTCAGCCAGTCGGGAGTCGGCTTGCCCTTAGATTTCAGCAACCCCTGATCGACGTGTCGTAGCATCGTGCGTATCTGCTTTGCTGTGGTGTCAGCCCATTTTGTTTTGCCTCCTGCCAGCTTCCACGATTCTTCGTTGTCATCGGCGATTGACTGCAGCAGCTCTTTCAGAGGTTTTTGAACCATGGGGCCCTGCTTGAGCACAACATTGATCCGAAGCTGCACAAGAAACGATTGTTCCCGTTTGAGCAGCCTAAAATTTGGGAGGCTCTCCATATCTGTGCTGTAGTTCAGCTCGGTGGGGCTGGTGATGCGGTCCTTCAAGATATGTCTGGCATCGCCTGGCTGAAAGCGGGCGTCCGTTCACCCTTCTTTTTCACCCGCTCTCCTTCATTTTTGCCCCACATGTTCACCTTCCTTCCCCCCTCCTCATCGCAAGCTATCCCCGTGCACATGGCGCCGTCCTCTCATCTTGCACTCACTTATATCGATATCACGTTCCCTTCACGTTGCCCTTGCCCCCCATCCACCCCGTCCACCTCTTAATGTTTACTGCCTCCTAATGTTTACTGCCACCCCTGCCCCCCATCCACCCCTCACGCTGCCCCTGCCCCCCATCCACCCCGTCGCCGGGGTCGCGCCCGCGACGGCGCCGCGGGCCCGCGGCGCCGTCGCCCGCCATGGCGGGCGCGGCGCCAGCCCTCGAGGCGGGGGGCGCCGCGAGAGCTCGAAAAAGGCTCTCGCGGGCGGGCGGGGGAGAAGAAGAGAGGCGATGGATAGAGGGGGGGGGCGATGGGGGAGAAAGAAGGGGGGGGGGGGAGGGGGGGGCGAGGACAAGGGGGCGGGTATGACAAGACGGAGGGGGAGGAGACATACTGGCAGGAGAAGGAGAAGAGTCAGGAGGGGAAGGGGAAAACGGAGTAGACGAGAAGATACGGGGATCCGAAGTAGCAAACGCACGCGGACAACGGCTCACCCACGCATGTCAGAAGGACAGCATGACATAGATCATACAATAACTCACAACATGATCAACGAGTAGTTCTCGAACAATATCATCAATATCCGAACAATCATGTTATATAAATAAGAACCGTTCTTAAAATAAGAACTATCAGACCTCAGGGTGGGGGGCCCGCGGGCGTCCCGGGAGATTGCCTAAAAGTAGCTCTGAAGTAGCAGCTTTAGTGCAACTTGTTTTGCCCCCCCCCCGGCGGCCCGCCGGCGCCCGGAGGCGCCGCGCGCGGGAATTCCGGGCCAGGCGGCGCCGGCGCGCTTCACGAACCTGGGCCAGCCGCGCTGGCCAGCATTATTATTCCAAGCGGGGCCGCGCCGTCGCGCGCTGCAACTCCAGGCCCGGCCGAGCCGGCGCGTTTTGCACGTCCGGGCCCGGCCGCGCCGGCGCGTGTAAATACGTGTCCGGCCGCGCCGGCGCGTTTTGAAAATTCGGGCCAGGCCCGCGCCAGCGCGTGCAAATCTGGGCCGGCCGCGCCACCTCTCGCGGACCCCGGGCCCGCCGGAGGTCCACCCGGCCGGCCGCCGGCGGGCCCGCGGGCGGGTCGCGGCGCCCCCCCGGAGGGCCCCGGCGACCCCCTGGCGGGCCCGGGGGGCGCCCCGAAATTGCCTCCCAATCAGCGAAAAAAATTATCCGCCCCCGCGCAAGGGCCCATATTCACCCATCTTAACTGCGCGCTGGCCTGGCGGGCGGGGCCCCGCCGCTTGCTCGGCGACGATCAAGAAGCTGCAACCGGCAGAAAGCGCCGCGCGCCATGGAGTCCGCGGGCCGCCCTGTAGAGAACAATAAGACGCCAGCGCTGCGACCCTGCCTTTATTATATGGCCCCCGACACTACGCGCTTGTTCCGCGCAGCGCGGCCCCGCGCCCGCGAACCTCAAGCAATGCGGCGCAGCGCAGCGCGCCCGGGATGGCCGCGGCAATGACGGTTGCAATGCGACTGATCAACCCGCAAGTGGACATTGAAATGTTATGTCGGAAAACTAGGTCCTACTTGGCACCACTTTGAAACTACGTGTTCCTACTTGAACATATTATGTTATACATTTATATGGGAAAACTATGCTTCCTTTTTTCTATCTCATATTGACCAACATGGCTGGTTGCTGTCTAAAGACTCGCTGTCGCAATTCTCGGGTCCATCCCAGACCCGCATGGGCCGAGGCTTCCAATGCATTCCGCGGCGACAGGCGGAGCGGACGCAGGAAAGCTGGCGGCCGGCATGGCTCGGTATGTTTTGAAATGGGGCGCGAAGGCCAGACGCCCTCACCTGGCCTTCTGTCACCCTTGTGATGCCGCGCTGGCGGCGTCGGCCGGCCGCGCTCCACGTTCGGGGCGCAAAGGGGCCCCCCCTGGGCAACCCCCAAAGTTTCCCCCCCCGATGCCAGCCAGCTCTCGGCGCCAGCCTAAAATGCCACGCCAGCACCTGCGCCGCCGATAGAAACGGGGCGAGCCTAAAAATGCGGCGTCGACGGCGCTGCGGCAGGTAACTAATCTGAAAAATCCCCGCCCTCCACCTGGCCAATGGAGGGCCCAGGGGGGGCGTCGCCATCCTCTGCCCCGGCGGGGGCGCCCCCGAGAAGCCTGGGCCCCCTTGTCGGAGAAGTCGGGGCAAATGCGGGAAACGGAACGAGCGCGGACATCCTCGCGCCGCTGCATCTTTGCTGCTCATGCTTGGCAATCCGAATCTCGGCGGTCTCGCGCTGCTGAACAACGCCCGCGGCAATGTCGAGCTCGGGGCGCTTCCCGCCGAGCAAACGAAGTAGGGCGCGCGCGCGGCCTCCGTTCTCCCCGGGGCGAGGCCCGGGGCGCTCAGGGGCAGCGCCCGCGCATCACTCAGAAGCAAATGGACGCCTCGAGCGCGTCAGCAATCGCCTTCCGGTGAAAGCCAGGCGAAACATGATTGCGCACCCACGCGGCAAGGGCCCGCCCAAAATCTCCCACTGGTGAACGACGCGGCGAACGCGAACATTCACCCTAGTCTAGAGAGACAAAGAGAGGGAGAGGGAGAGAGGGAGAGAGAGAGAGATAGAGAGAGAGAGAGAGAGAGAAAACACACAAAAAAAAAAAAAAAAAAAAAAAAAAAACGAGAGAGAGAGAGAGAGAGAGAGAGAGAGAGAGAGAGAGAGAGAGAGAGAACAAAAAAAGAGAAAGAGAGAGAGAGAGAGAGAGAGAGAGAGAAATGAAATAACATGACAACGCCTTCACCACTCCACCTGCAAGGACGAGCTTGCAAACCGGTGCAATGGTAATTCGTGCTCAAGTTCGGCAATGCCACCAGTGTGTCCATGAGTCTCTTGCACTGCTGTAGTATCGCGCGCGCTGCATAATCGAATGAGCGCCCGATAGCGCGCGGAAGCCTTCAAGGGGGAGATCCTGACTGAGGCAAATAAAGCATCGGCGTTCCACGAGCCACGGGCGAGGGGGAAGCGATGGGGAAACAGGAAGCGGCAGGGGGAGAGACGGTGGAACTGGCACCTCACTGCAGGTGCTGTCGGTCTCATCGCGCAAAGGGGCGGCGTTGCTGTGCTGCCGCCGCTGTTTGCACCGATTCGAGCATCGATTGGGCGTCAAATCCAATGGAAACCTCGCGATCGCACTCGCAGGTGGAGCGCCCCTGCAAGCAGACGTTCACCTCGTGGCGGGGGCTGGGTCGCGGGCAAGGCGCGCGATGCATTCTGTCCACCCAATCCAGAGCCCCCGGCATCATGGCCTTTCGGGGCAAGCGTCTGGGCCAGGAGCGATCGGGCGCGGCCGGGGGAGAGAGAGAGAGAGAGAGAGAGAGAGAGAGAGAGAGAGAGAGAGAGAGAGAGAGAGAGGCAAAAAAAAAAAAAAAAAAAAAAACGAGAGGCCGAACGCTCGCGCGATTAAGTTGGCCTGGGACTGGAGGGGGGGAAAGGATCATTTGCAGCGCGCGCCGATCTCCTTGATATCAGCAAGAAGGAGGGCGTGGGGAAAGCCACGAATAATCAGCTTGCAGGCGTCATTCTGTTGGCGCTCAGGTCCGCCTCTGCTCGCACGTGCAGAGGCGCTGCGCGGCGCGCTCTGGGATGATGGCCGATGGAGTAGACGAAGACTGCGATGTGGCCATGTCCTCGGCGCGTTTGCCGGCTGCCTGCCGAGCTTCGCGAAAGGGGGAGATCTGCTGGGGAAAGCCATTGCTCTTCGCGCCGAGCCTGACGTCGAACTCGGGGAGGGGGGAGCTGCCGTCCATGGGAGTGTTCATGGAGGTGAAGTAGGCTCGAGGGGCAACGATCTTGGCGCCCTGCGCACTCGCGACCTGATCGAGCTGGCTCTTGAGCTCGTCGCGTCGGCGGCGGACGCCCTATCCTAGCAGTGTGACCTGGTCCGCGAGCTGCCCTGGCCAAGCTGCCGCGCGCCGATGGGCGGAGGTCGGTGACGCCCCGGCGGCCCTGCAATTTCATCTGGTGCATGCTGGCCAGGGGGCCGCTGATGGTCTCGAGTTGCATGGCAGCGGCGCCATCAGGCGGGCCCTCGCCCATGGCAACATGACTTTGACTTGGGCGGCGCGGCCCCGGGCTTCTGCCGGCGGAACGGAGCGCGCTCAACGATCGGCGGGGAGTCTGAGCGAGCGGCGCTCCTGTGATCTGGGCGGCGCGACTGCCCCATCGCGGCCGTGGAAGAAAGGAGCTGCAGGGGAAGAATGGCACACGACAAGGCATGGCTTCTGCAAGGAGCTCGCCGAAGCGGAATCCACGCGGGGCCCGAGGCGGGCCGCCCCGATGGGCCCCCAAAAGGGCCCTCCACCACTTCGAGAGGTGCATTGCTTGATCCAAAACGGCATGAGCCAAAGTGGCTGCGGAGAGGAAACGGACGGCTGTTTGAAGGCCAGCCCCCTTGCTCCAACCCTCTTGCCTGCTGCCGAGCAGCGAAGGCAAAAGACCCCTGGCAAAGTCGCGACAGTGGCTCGAG